CCCGGGGAAATTCTTAGGAACCGCCGTAGCTTTTAGCATACTGCTTTAAGAATCTCTTAGTAACTTCAGGCCTCCTTAAGGGGGTCTTTTTACTTCTTAAGCTTCTCTCGCCATTGTGCAAGGTTGCTTCCTGATTTCTTTTTCTCACCCAAATATGTGGCTCACCCCAGTTGGCAGAGAGGCTGCTGAGAGTTCTTGGGCTGGGCCCTGTGCGATCGTTGCATAATAGCTGATCCCAGTTGAATTGGGCAAGCATTTGGTACATTTGTTCACCACTGGAAAATCCCCACTTCCTCTGAACCAAGAACTGAAGCGGAAAGCCCCACACTGGTTGCCATTCCTTCACTCTGAAGGGGGGGGGGATATTCACTTTCCTGCCTGATCTGTTTGGCTTACTCTGCTGTGTGTCAGAGATTCCCCCCCCACACACCATGTTTTGAAAGAGGGAGAAGATAAACGCTCCCTCTAAGCTGTGGAGTCCTGTGAGCAAAAATTCTACTTTGGGAGCTACTGGCATCAAAGTCGTGAGTGAGCCATTTGGCTACTGCGTAAATTAGTCTGCTCTGGAGCCCTCCTTCCTGAGCGGAGACAAAACTGTGAGCCGGAGGCTAAAAGACTGTGAGCTAGCTCACACTAACTCAGCTTAGAGGGAACACTGGAGAAGACGATTATGACAATTAAATGAGGCATCTTGACCTGTAAAAGTGTCTCCAAGTTCGGCTTTCTTCCTGCCATGGATCCCCTTGGCCCACCTCTCTGTTTATTTGATTTATTTGGACGGGACCCAGAGCAGCTTACAAAACTCTCCTCTCCTCTATTCCACTTTATCCTCACAACAACCCTATGAGGTAGGCTGGGCTGAGAGAGTGTTGAGTGGCCCCAGGTCATCCAGCAAGCATCCATGGCACGGCCCTTATGGCTTCTTGTTGGCCATCCCGAGGAACTGGTTGGCCACTGTGTGAGACGGGATGCTGGACTGGATGGACCACTGGGCTGATCCAGCAGGGTTCTTCTTATGTTCTTATGAGGGGAAGGCTTCGGTCTCTCTGCCCTGTTGTTGTCCCTCCAGAGGAACTGGCTGGCCACTGTATGAGAAAGGAGGCTGGACTAGAGGGACTATTTGGTCTGATCCAGCAGGGTTCTTCTTACGTTCTTATCAGGGGAAGGCCTCGGCCTCTCTGCCCTGTTGTTGGCCCTCCAGAGGAACTGGTTGGCCACTGTCTGTGACTGGATGCTGGACTGGATGGACCACTGGTCTGACCCAGCAAGGCTCCTCTTCTGTTCTTAATTATGAGTGGGGATTCGAATTCAGACCCTAGTCCCGACACTCTTAACCACCACCCCACACTGCCTCTCTGTATCGGACCATGAAAAACAGTTCGGCCATTATAAAACGTTTCCACTCCTGCTTTAACATGAGACAGCCGGCTGGCTGCTGTGTGCAAACAGACTGGTGGAATCGACGGGTCGGATCCAGCACGGCCCTTCGTATGTTCCTCTACACTCTTACGAATATACGAGAGTGTCAGTCAAGACCGGTCCAAGAAAGACGTCTGCGCTTTGTGGAAATGCCGGTTCCAAAACTATACCGGAGCTCTCCGGCACACTGCGACCTTTCTCACTGATAAAGACGCCTCGGCTGTTCTGTCGGCTGTTTGGTTCGCTGCTCTGGTTTCTGGGAATTGGGAGTTAGAAACCACTCTCCAGGGACGCTCTTTAAAAAAACCCCTGGGCTGGTTTCGTGCCCTGCAGCCCTGCAAACTTTCAGTTTCCCCTAGCACGCTTTAATGCTTTGCAGTCATTCGTTTTACAGCTGTTCCTTTTCTGGTTTCGAATAACTTGGGTCAGGCCTGTGGCCGCCGCGCCACTGGTCAGCCCTCCCTACTCCCTTCAACAAAAAGAGGTTTTGTCTCTTTATTTTTCTTGAACCCATTTAAACTGCACGTCCTCTTCAACATCAGATGTAGGCCTCTGATGGTTGGGGTTTGGGGGGCGGGTGTTTGACTTTGAGGGCTGGAAACTTATGTGTGACCGACAGGGAAAGGTGAGAGTCTTTAGATCGGGTCCCGGGCATATTCGCTCGGAGACTGACCTCACTGTGTCCAAAAGAGGTTTCCTTCCCTCTCTGGGAAGCGTGTTTGGGGCTGGAGATTGTAGCGAGCCTGTTCCTTACCAGAAACCCAGTTTGGTTCTTTACCTGGGGCATCCTCAGATTGTCAGTGGTGGTTTAATGATAACAGATAGGATGCTTAGTCAAGGATTTGGGGATTTTCGTAACTAGATTCAGGGCAGATTCAGGTGGATCCCGGACTGCTCTTGTTACATTCTTATCACAGGGGAAGGCCTCGGCCTCCATGCCCTGTTGTTGGCCCTCCAGAGGAACTGGTTGAGGCCACTGTGTAAGACAGGATGCTGGACTAAATGGACGACTGGTCTGACCCAGCAGGGCTCTTCTGATTTTCTTGTCAGGGGAAGGCCTCGGCCTCTCTGCCCTGTTGTTGGCCTTCAGAGGAACTGGTTGAGGCCACTGTGTGAGACAGGATGCTGGACCCAACAGGGCTCTTCGAATGTTCTTCTCAGGGGAAAGCCTTGGCCTCTCTGCCCTGTTGTTGGCCCTCCAGAGAAACTGGTTGAGGCCACTGTGTAAGACAGGATGCTGGACTAGACGGCCTATTGGTCTGACCCAACAGGGCTCCTCTGATGTTCTTGTTAGGGGAAGGCCTCGGCCTCTCTGCCCTGTTGTTGGCCCTCCAGACGAACTGGTTGAGGCCACTGTGTGAGGCAGGATGCTGGACTAGGTGGACCCCTGGTCTGACCCAGCAGGGCTCCTCTGATGTTCTTGTTAGGGGAAGGCCTCGGCCTCTAGGCCCTGTTGTTGGCCCTCCAGAGGAACTGGTTGAGGCCACTGTGTAAGACAGAATGCTGGACTAGGTGGACCACTGGCCTGATCCAGCAAGGCTCCTCTGATGTTCTTGTCAGGGGAAAGCCTTGTTCTCTCTGCCCTGTTGTTGGCCCTCCAGAGGAACTGGTTGGCCACTGTGTAAGTCAGGATGCTGGACTAGATGGACCCTCACTGGTCTGACCCAACAGGGCTCTTCGGATGTTCTTCTCAGGGGAAGGCCTCAGCCTCTCTGCCCTGTTGTTGGCCCTCCAGAGGAACTGGTTGAGGCCACTGTGTGAGGCAGGATGCTGGACTAGGTGGACCCCTGGTCTGACCCAGCAGGGCTCCTCTGATGTTCTTGTTAGGGGAAGGCCTCGGCCTCTAGGCCCTGTTGTTGGCCTCCAGAGGAACTGGTTGAGGCCACTGTGTGAGACAGGATGCTGGACTAGGTGGACCATTGGTCTGATCAAGCAGGGCTCTTCTTACGTTCTTATGAGGCTTCGGCCTCTTTGTCCTGTTGTTGGCCCTCCAGAGGAACTGGCTGGTCGCGGTGTGAGACAGGATGCTAGATCAGATGGACCGCTGGACTGATCCGGCAGGGTTCTGTAATGATTTAAAGTTTTAAGTGTGTCTTTCTTTAGATGTTTGGTGAGTTGGAGAAGAACACGGGGATGCTCACAGCTTTAAGGCCAGCAGCTCACAAAGTAGAATTTTTGCTCACAAGACTCCACAGTTTAGAGGGAGCGCTGCCCCTGACGGCATTAAAGCATGACCGCCGTTGTGCAGAGTTGGAGAAGAGCGCGGGGATGAGTGAGGGAGGTGATTGGATGGTGACTGAGAGTGGATGAGCAGAGCTAAGTAAAGTCAGGGTGTTCTGCCAGCAGTTCACAGTTAATGGTCAGCTATCCACTCATCATTAAGGACAGAAGAGGAGCCCTGCTGGATCAGACCAGTGATGGTTCACCTAGTCCAGCCTCCCGTCTCACACAGGGGCCAGCCAGTTCCTCTGGAGGGCCAAGAACAGGGCATAGAGGCCGAGGCCTTCCCCTGAGAAGAACATCAGAAGAGGCCTGCTGGATCAGACCAGGGGTCCATCTAGTCCAGCATCCCGTCTCACACAGGGGCCAACCAGTTCCTCTGGAGGGCCAAGAACA